TTGACAAATACCTCGCACAAACGGTAGTTCTCCAGCCGGATTGCATATATATATATATATACATATATACATCATATGTATGTATGCATAACAACATATGTATATAATATATATATATATATGTGTATATATATCCATACATACAAATATATATATATATATATGTAAAACATATAATATATATATATATACGGTATATAGGCTGAATTAGGATGATTCCCCCATTCATCCTTCCGACGGATCCAACATGATCCAGCCTCGAAGGTCCCAGAAAGCTGGGACAGCTGGGAGTCGTAAGGTATGGGAGCCATGGTAAAGCTGCAACGATGGCTACCTCGCGATGGAACTCGGCTTCTGCAGATTCTGGAGAGCTGAAAATTTCTGAAAGGGATTTTGTGTGGGCTTATTTTTTAAGCCGGCGGAAAACATCGGAGAACTAGTTCTGAGCTCTCCACAAATGTTTAAAGGGGATCTGAGAGTGCCTTCATAATTTAAGGAATAGAATTGATTTCAACCTATTGTGACCTACAAACGGAAACCTCCAGAGCAAAAATTAGGCCCTCCCCTTTCAGTTCAGGAGAGCCTCTTCCAACTGGCTAAGCACTGGTTCAGTCTATTTTATGGTTCAATACCAACTTCCCACCTTACGATAGTTCATCTGAAATTGCCACCAACTAGCACCCGTCTTTCATGTTTCGCACTCCATTCTGGTTCCCACAAGTCATCACTTCCCACTGGTGTCTTCCCATCAAAACGACTTGCAGCAGTGATCTTGGATATGGCCCCCCACAAGAAAGGTCCTTTCTGCATATATAAATACGTCGATTATGTATGATTATGTATGATTATAAACATATAACAATAGAAATTATTACAACAATTATATAAGATTATGTATATATATATATATATATGTATCTATATATCTATATCTATATATATATTATAATTAATATAAATTAATATAGAGATTGCAGCTCCTTGCGCCCAAAACTATCGCCAAGTCGCAAGCAGCAGCATCAGCAGCCCGCGTTTCCGAGCCATGGAGAAATCCGGCTCCGCGAAATCGGAAAAACACGGCTGGGCAGGGCCCAATTTCGAGGTCGTTAATCCCAAAGCCTTAATGGCCGCAAAATCCCCCATCTTCATATAGAAAATGTACGCATGTAGCATGTATAAATGTGTATATATATATATATATGTATATATATATACACACAAGTGTGTCAGTATATGACTATAGACAAATGTTGGCCATGTTGTTGCAATCATCTTTATCAATTGTGACCATCATTGAGATTCACTCCGCATCATATCTGTTCAAAAAATAATGAATCATCAACCTGAAATGGGGTTGATTTTACCCATAGATAAAGCATCATTTACAATGACATCGACCAGTGATGTTGCTATAACTCATCCAGATATATGAAAATAATTTCAATATATAGCAGCCGCAAAAAAGATAGCAGAGCAAAGCTCTTCTAGAGCAAAATGGCATTGAAATTATGTTCTACGGTATCTTTTTTTTGGGTTGTTCTATATAATTAGTTTTTAATTAGTATAAATATGCTTTCATATATATATATATATATGGTCGTCATCATCATGTATGTATAAATATATATATATATATATATACACTACAGAATCAAATAAATAGATTCACCATATGTCATCAGATTTATCTGCCGCGGCCCAGCCTCGCCAGGCGTTTCAGCTGAAAATGGTCCTGGACTCGGCCGTAGAATTTTCGGCCGTTTCGGCCAATGGGGTCATAGAGCAACCATAGAATATGGATACCCTCTGGTAATTTAACATAGCTATTGAGAATGGCCATTTATGGTGGATTTACCCATTTTAGTTTACCAGAGGGTATCTCATGGTAATGTAGATATTTTGACTTGTATTGACGTAGAATGATGTAGATATCTATGTTACATATATACTGTATACTTGACGTGTATGATTATGTCTAAACACACACATATATATAATATATATATACGTATACATACATATGGCGATCTGAATACAAACAAAAATGAATTGATTAGCCAACCAATAAAAAAAAACAGTTGTTGGAAATTGTTTCTGAAATCATTGGAAATTGTTAAGCAAATGCCAAGGAAAAAACAGATTGGCCAAGCGAGAATAGATTCACCAATGATTTTAAATGTGTTTCTCCTGAGAATTCGGAGTTTTAATCGAAATGAGCAAATCATTCCACTGGGAATTAGGAGTTATGGTCAATTTTTGTGGTTGGTATTGTTCACATCTTGATATTATCAATATCAAATCAAGTGATAATAAAATTGGCAAGCAAAATTGAATTACAGAAAGTCTTTGGGTGGGGAGCGGACCTGAAGGCTTGAGCGACACCTGAACTTTTCTTCCAGCCCTTAAAAATGGCAGGGCCGTCATGTTAGTTAGGGGATTATTTATATTTTATGTATCTACGGAATGAGACATACTTTCTATGTTGAATCAACCGACCAGCACCTTTGGCAGAGCTACACAACAAACACACGACAGGCTGCTGCCAAGTCGCATAGACAAAATAAGTGGGGATGCAAGCAAGGATGCCTCCCGCTACCTTGGCAAGAAGCGACAACGTGCATGAAAATAAAACCACTACTAACAGTATGACCATCGTCTAACATGGGTACATGCTGCAAGGAGAGTATTAACTCCTCAGTTTGTAGATACGAGTACTGAGAGTCTTTATTTTTTTCACCTGGTGTTTTTGCCTTTCGGTGTGGCCAGCTGGACAGGTTTAGTGGGATGCAAGATGAAGACTGGTCCACCTTGAACACAAGAAGGGCCCCGTGAGATAGGTAAGTTTGTTTAGAACTAGGCTAGCGATTGGTTTAATGGATTTTAATGGTGGATATATCTACAGTTAAGATCGGGTTGTAAACCAATTTGCAACTGGCGGCACTATCGTGGCAGGTGTCTACTGGGTGTCAAATGCAGAATCCGACTTTCAAAGTTGGCTCAGTAGCCATGGATGGCATGGATGTGACAAATAGCCACAACCATCCACAACCCCTATATACGCCTATAGGCCTATAGGATCCGTATTGATCAATAATCTGAGTTCAGGTCAATCGTTACCCCTAAATACCCCTAGGTGTCCAATCATTTTTCAAGTTCTAAGTCATCTAAGTTATCTAATCATTTGAACAGGTCCAATTTCTTGCCAAGTGACTGGTCCAACCCATCTGAAGCCTCCCAAGGCATCCCTCAGCTGCATCGAAGACAGGTCTGCAGTCATCATCTTGGAAAAAAAGAAGAGTTACGCTGAACTTTCCAAATTCTTGTTTTTCTAAAAAACATGTATATGGCAGTGTGTCAAAACCTTGTACCCCTGGTGAACATCAAAATAGCTGGTAAATGGATGTTCATCCCACTAAAAATGGTATTAATAGGTATTGATTCATAGCCATATAATTGTTATCCGCCGGCCTGCCGGTGTCTTGTGGATCTTGCTTGTCCGTAGTTGTACTGTCTGTTTCGTCTTTGTCTCTGTCTAGACTTTCCCCTTGGCGCGGATTTTTGCCTCGTCTAACTTGAACCCACCCACCCCTCCCCCCCTTTCCTTAAGTTGTGGTGGGCTCAACTCTTTAACACCGGCTTGGTTTTGCACATCTCGCTGTCATTTCAATGGTTGTTTCCGTTTTTTTGTTGTGTTTGCCATCGGTTTGCTCCGTCGCTTCTTATATCCAATACTTGATCGACGTCTTGATCGACTGGCTTTTGTACCGAACACCTTTTACACGTATAACCTTTCTAAATATGGCCTTTTCCAAAGCTTTCTCAATATGGCCTTTTCCTAAAACCCTGGTTTACACACATGCTTTGGTTTAAACTTAAACCGTGGCTGGAAAAAAAAACGATGCTGTTTGCTGGGCCCCCCAGCGTCGCTTTTGCCAGGTTCCTGCTGAACATGGCGCTGGACGGTTTCCTCAAAATTTAAGGGGCCCCTTTTTATATGTGGTCAACCCCTGTGTTAAACGATGTGTGTTTGATGTGTTTTGATGTGAACTTTGATGTTTGTTGATGGGTTAGGATGTTAAGATATGTTAAGATTGTCCCAACTAAACCATAAATCATGATAAATCATATATATATATATATCCTGCTCAATTCTTTTGGGTGTCGAATCTTGCTAGCTGCGTGAAATGGAGCTGAGGCTGATTCGTTTTGATCGAGGGCATGCCACAGTCGAAGAATTGGCCAACCAAATTGGATGTCGAAGACTTACTGAGTTCTTGAAGATGCGACACCTGCGAAATATCTTCTTTCTCACAGACTAATTAAAGTACCTGATGCAATTTATCATGTGACCCTCATCTGGAACCATCACAACTGTTCCTAGCTACCCAAAAATAAAGCTGCGGGCAGGCGCGCGTACAGGCACTGAGCACTGGTTGATGGGCCCAGTATGCCTGGTTGATGGGGAAGTGGGTTGCAACCCCCCTGCTGTCCATTGAATTCAGAACAAATAAACTTCAAATCTATTCAATGTTTCGTGTTGAAGACGAAATCATACAGCGTTTGAAAGTTGACACCCCAATGATCCCCAATATCAATACGACCCTGATGGATATTCCAGAAGCTCAAACCAGCTTTAAACCAGGATCATATTCAAAACATTTCAAAACCGGTTGTACAACTATTTCCCTGCAAAATGTGAAATCCGATCCAAATGATCTTCTCAACAGGGACAAAACAGCCACAACGACAAGAAGTGCATCCAAAATCATCCAAACCTTTCAAAAGCACCAACCACGATAAGCTGGTGGCTTCACCAAGCGAATGGAACTTTTTACGCTCACCGAGGATTTCACGTTTCAATCGAGGATTCCCCGTTTCCCGAGGATCGCCAGTCGAAATGACCGCCTCTCTTTTTGTGTCGGGTTTGTTTTTGAAAATTGCGAGACCCCAAATCTCCATGAGAATTCCCATGGTTCATCGTGTTCCACAGCCACTATGATGGCCACTCAAAAAAACTGGGGGTCAGTCCCATGGACAAACCCATGCAAAAAGAAAGTTCAGCTAAGGATGGGGCTATATACAAAGCGAGTAGTCATGCTGGCAAATTTCTTGGTTGCGGCAGCTGCAGGCTCAGGCAGGACGTACACTGTCTGAATTGCCTGTGGAGATAACCGATGTGATGTTGGCATCTGGATTTTTAAAACAAAACTCTGTATCGAACAACATAGGAAAATTCAAAACCATCTATCACTGGAGGATGTTTCATTGACAAGTTATATTAGCAAACAGTACATGGGATAGTTTCCTATCATTTAATCATTGATCCTGATAAGAACATCATTGGCAATACACCCATCAGTTGCTTCTAATGGTGGAGCCTTGAGCAGGTCCAAATTCTTGTTAATTCTCGGCTTCTAAGTTACCTAATTTAATAGCCATGTCCCGTGCAGTCTGTCCTTATAGTTCACTTCAGACCACAAGTGGAATGTCCTACAAAGTAGCACTTCAGGAGTTTGATCACCTGCCGCATCATTTTCTGAGAATTGGGCTGTACCCCATCGCCGGTTGATCACCCAACATCAATAGATAACTACAGTAGCTGCTATCCCTCGGTTCCACACCATTTTGCGGGGCTTCCATCTGGTTCCACCTGCATCAACTTCCGTGAGGTGTCCAACTTCTTCTTCCCCTCCTCTGGCAATGGCGCTTGCTTCCAAAGGGTGACCACCCGCACAGCTGCGGCCAACCTCACTTGCAACGGTGTCATGAACATGTTTGGCTGCGAATTCCACGAACAAAAAGGAGGTTTTAAGGGGAATAATGCTGGAAAAAAATGTTTATAATATATATATATATATATATTATTATATATTACATATATATATATATAAATCAACTACAAATGGAGGATTTAATGGTAAAATCATCGAACAATTGGACTTAGGTTTCCGCATGAATAAATCACTTAATAATGGGCTTAATCCTGGGGTTATTCACGTAGGTCAAATGGGAATCAACCACCATAGAAAATTTCAACCCACGGCCATACCATCGCCACTGAGCCACTCTTGTTGGTCCTTCTCCCTCACTTCGAAGAGCTCCGAGACCCTCAGCGCCTTCAACGCCTCGGAGGCGTCGGCCTCGGCGTCGGCGCGCGCCACGGCGCCCGCGGCGGTGAGGCGCCAGCGGTCCGCCACCAACCAGTCGTCGTTCAGCGGCTTCAGCCGGGGAGTGGGGCCTCAGCGAAAACACCCGGAAAAATGGGGGAAAAAACAATGAGCAGCTGGAAAAAACCAGCAAAAAAAGTGGAACAATAGGGAAGATCTGCAGAAGACATGATTTTTTCAGATTTTTTTCAGATGCGTTCAAGGAATTTCTGCAGATCCCCACCTCCCAGGGTGTACGCTGCTGCTAGCGCCCCTGCCGGGACTCCACTGCCATCTTCCAGGACCCCTTTGCCGCCGCCCGGTGCACTTCGACTGCTCGACAGCCAGCGCCGCCGCGCACGGAATTCGCCGGCCTCTGTGCCCACCTGTGACATCGTTGATGGAATTCCATGATAGGAATAAAAACATATACTTATACATTACTTATACAATATATACATCAATATACATCTATTGACTTATATGATGGCTAGATAAGTATAGATAAGTTCTATACTAATAGGACACTAATAGGACTGGGCAATCCTGGGGATCCTGGCATAGCCACAGATCCTGGGCCATCAATGGGGGACAGTTATGATAGATCGTAAGGAATCATGGGACATTTGCAATTTGCATGTCGTATATTTTAATTCAATACAAAGCATTACAAAGCCATATTGGAAATCACTTAGCCACATAATTGGTTGATTGTTTTGTGGTTTTGTTATGTGTTGTTATGCTTTGTCTTCGGGAGCCCCTTATAAAAACGTGGGATCTGGCCACAAAGCCCTGGGCTCCCGACCGCTTCTTGACTCTTCTTCAATAGCGCTGGTGCTCCTGGCCTTACCGGTGATTTTCTTCAGAATTTGTTAATCCCAGAGAGTACCAGCGAGTAATCCATGCATTTTCCTCGGAATTGGAGGTGTTAGTGTCCCAAGTTTCGGTTCCACCGAGCTCCCAACAGGGCGGAGGAGAAGGCGGCTGAGGTGGCAGAAGCAGTCTCAACTTTATACCTGGCCGCTGGAAAAACTAAACTGAAAGACCTAAATGAAAAACACGGGAAAAATATGGAAAAATTATAGTTCACCATTTCACCCAGAATTCATGGGATTAGACTACCAGTTAATATTAATGTAATAGGACATACTGGGATATTGCCAAATCGGTGGGCGTCCCTATCTGATGGCAAGTTTTAAAAAACAATGGAGAAAACCAGCAACAACTAATGCCACCAAACGTACCACAGTGCCACTATCAAAAAGTTGAAACTCTTGAGGTCGTGGGGTTCAAACCCTTTGGCCACTCGCAGTCTTGTTCGAAATAGGCCATCCATTCCCCCTGCAACAGCGATTTTATCATCATGCTGAGCCATGCCTGTCACGTTTTAGAGGGGATTCGAAGGGGGTTGGGGGGTTGGAGGGGGCAATAACGTTCTTCTGCCTTGAGTTCCTGTTGACACGTTCTGAACTTTGTCAAGCCATTGAACTTGCTAAGTTTGTCCAGTAACTTGCGCTCTTGATGCTACGCTGTAACATCCGCTGTATCTTGAAAAGGCATTCTTTGATATCCAAAAGGATTATGAATGGCCTTGGCAATGAAGCTCTTTTGAATGGCAGGCGTGATGGAAAAAGACTTCAGAGCGCCAGTACAGGGTAAACTAACCTTTTGGTGGCACGCGTTTACAGAGGACTGGCGCATAGTCTTGGCAATCCTCAATGAGCCTCAAAGATTCAATCTTAGATATGTACTCGTAAACTCCTGAAAATGCCTGATGCCATGGGTGAAATTTCCGATTCTTTGTGTTTGCGTTGGTGCAATACACTGCAATACACATGTTCAGTGATAAAGCATGTGGGTGTGGGTCAAAACCGTGGTAGTCTGCTCAACACCAAAGTAGCTGATTAATCCATGTTCACCCCTCAAAGAACATTGTTATTGACCCATCCTGATATAACTAATATCATGTATAACTGTACAACATAGTATCATGTATTGCATATGGTTATTCCAGTAATGGGAAATTCCGGTCGAAGACGGAACTCACCGCCGAGCGGCAGCTCGCCAAAGCAAGCCCATTCCCCTGCAAACCACCCAGGCAGAACTAGCTCGTCGCCTTCGGTGGATGAGAGCCACTGGAATCACATCATCCAGGATGGTCCAGGATGGTCCAGGATGGTTTTGGGTCACCTTTCAAAATGATGACCCAAAACCATCCTGGTAAGATTTTTGAGATTAGAGACCAATAAAACATCAAAACCATCAAAAGATATCGAAAGTCCCAGGTAGGTTTGAGATCCAAAACGAGACAATTTCTGGGTGCTCTGGACGCCCAAGTTTGACAGGTTGAACAGGTCACCTGTGACCCCCCAAATTAACCCCCACAACAACAGGGGTTTGATAAGCCCCATGGGGGTTGACGGTGGTTACCCTGTTCCATAAGGCCTAATTGTTTTTTTTTACAAATACGCAGTAACAGTAACAAATTAATATATATATATATACACATCTATATTAATTCATGGGTCAAAACTCTCCAATGATTGAGCCTCTTTGCCCAAGGCTGAGCTGCGCTGCAGCCTTTTCGGCTGCAACCTCTTGGGGACTCTTCTCCTGCAAATCGGTTGATGGAAATTCACCAGACCCTCACGTTTTTAGCACCAAATTCCAGTGGGTTACCTGTAAAATTATTCACTTTAATCCACTGTAGCGAAGTTGGTTTATAACTAGCTGCCTTGCTTAGAATTCTGGTATATCAAATTTGTAAACCAACAAACATAATAGGGGGGCAACACATTGTGCAACGAGTCGTACGTACTACGCTTTTGATGTCCCTAATATTTTGTGAAGCTTCGCATCCTCGCATCCCAGCGACCAAAACATGATACGGTATCATATTAAATAGCTGTAGTATATCTATAGTATATATAATAGTATATATAATAGTATTATAATTATATGTTGTATTATCCAAGTCAGAACTTTCATCTTCTGATTTTCTGATTTTCTGATAAAAGCAACAATTATGGAACCTTATATCAACGTGATGAAAAATTCACGAAGGGACAGCTGGCCCAAAAGCAGGGGAATGAACTCTTCACCGGTATGGGTTGAAATTGGGCTCATGCCCAAACATTGAAGCTCTAACACTGTCTAACACTGAAACAGCCCATGATTACGGTTCCGCTGGTATTCGTACTTTAAGCTATTTCCAGCAATTTATTTTAGCTATCCATTTTTGGATGGTTCAAAGTTTTGAATAGAGCTTACACCGGTGAATTCCCGCAAGATCACAACCTCAAATGTCCCATTCCCCAGTTCCTCCGCCCAGACCGGCTGCCCAAGAACCGAAACCGCAGTCAGCGCAGCTCGCCGCGGCAACGACGTGAAAGCGCTCAGCCTCAAAGTAGGCCATCACGCTGGCCAATGTCAATATTTAGGCCAGGGGACTGCAGATTCTGTTCATGTTTGGTACTAAACATCCAATTTCAAGGGCATCTAATTTTGAGCCGTACTCAATTGAGAATGTGTACAATTATTGTGTGTCTTTTGGTTTTAGGAGAATACAGAATACCCTATATATAACTAGAATTGATACCCTCTCCAGTTAATGAACCAAAAAACGATTAGAAATTATACTCAGTTGATGAAGACTTTCGTAGAACGAAAAATCAGTTCTACAAAAAATCCTCGCGGAAGCCGTGGATGTCCAAATCGATGTTTCAACCCTTGGCAGTCTATGGTGATCCACTGGCATAAACTGGGGGCTGTTATGAAAAAAAACATGACCACTGCACCTGTGGTGAATTATGATGTGAGAAACCACAGTGTTTGGCAACATGACAAAAAACTGCAGATTATAAACCAAATTACACTCTTCCACACGATCACAAACCTGGATCGATGGATAGAAACTACGGTCTTCATTCAACAACAGGGACAACAACCAAACACATTGGTTTGTTTCAGTTAACGGTAATTTTTTTTAGCCGATTGTCAGAAGATTGAAGAATCCCAGCAAATTCAAAGAATAAGGTATCATTGAATACTGAGTGTGCCACACTGAATGGGAATGATCCTCCAAGAATCGAATGATGTTCAGAAGATTTCAGTAACCATTGAAGATGCCAATCCCTAACTCATGGTTTAGCCATCTCTTTTGGAAAAATTCACAAATGCCGCCATTTTTGAGACAGCTGTCCGGCTGTCCCATCTATGGACATCAGCCCTGATATCGTGCCTGATTAGAATCCTGAGAACTGTGGGGATTCCATATCCACTACAGCATCCCGGGAAAACGTTCTGCAATCTTTCTAAGGAGCCTTGAAAATTTCCTCATTTTATGTCATCTTAAAGGATATATGGAATTATATGGAACCATGCAAAGCTTTATTCCATGGGGAAATATCAATGGAATATCCTCATATTCTGGGATGGGTGAGTTTTGTTTCCATGTATCAATATGTATCATATCAGACTGTGAAACAGAAGTCACCCATCAACATTATCAACCAAGTTACATCGGAGCGCCGAGAAAAAAGGCGACCAGCACAACACGGGCCCCGGGCCCCGTGGAGGGGATGAGTGGCGATGCTACGTTGGTGGCACATCTGCGCAACATGGCACGGCGCATGGTTTCTTTGGGGATC